TGAGAGGGTCTAGTCAGATGGCTCCTGCCTGGGACAGGGGCGTCAGTGCCCGCTAGAGGGAGCCCTCCCGGCCCCAAGCACCCTCAGCACAGGTCCTGCCTCTCCGAGTCCTCATTGCATCCCAGGGAGCATTACAGCAGGTGACAGGCCTGTGTGGGCTGCCCTCCCAGGGCAAGCCATTTGTGGTCCCTGGGCAGACTCCGAGTAGGCATCAGAGACTCACTGAGTGAATGGCTGAGCGGACAAATGAACAAGAGGTCTGGCTGGTGCGACCTCGGAGTTATAAAGGCTCCAAGAGGAGGAGACAGTGGGCTGCCGTGTTAGAGACCCTGGCTAGATGGCAGAGGGAGGTTTCTGTCTTTCTGAATGTAAAATGTTTTCTAAAGGCTGGAGCGGCTTCTCTCCCACTCCCTGGCACTCTTAAAAGCCGGGTGCCCACACAGCACTCAGCCCCACCAGCCTGCTCACCTGGCCCAGGTCCAGGATGAAGCAGTCTCCGGTGTTGAAGCTGTCCCAGCTCAGTGCCCGCTCGGTGGCCCGGATGTTCTTCTTCCCCTTCACCTGGTACAGTTTCTTGATGGCAGCTGGAGCAGCCCCAGGGGAGGTCTTGTGAAATGCTGACTCCACTCCGCCCTCCTGCAGCCCAGACCAGCCAACCTTAGCGGGCTGATGGGAGGCCCCCAGCCTGCCACAGCCCCTGCCAGCGGGGGATGGGCGGAAAGTAGGGAGGACCCAGGCCTGAGGGCGCCTGGGCCTCCTGCAGGGTGAGAACTGGCTGGAAGGAGGAGTGGCTCGGAGAGACGCCACAGGCTAAGGGTGCCAGAAGGTGGGCTCTGACCTGGTACTTGAGGCCACGTGGGAAGTAGCTCATGAAGAGGTCGGACTCATTGCCCTGCACCTCTCGGTGCTGCACGGGCCGCTCCCCAAGCAGGGTGTTGAGATGCACGGCCAGCATAGCGCAGGCCCCCTGCTCGTCCCGGGAGGACTGCTGGCCTGCAGGGGCGGGGAGGGGCAGGCAAGGCCCGTGAGACCCGTGCCAGCCCCAGCTCCCGCCGGGGCCACACCCCCAGCTCGGGCCCGCAGCCTCCTTACCTATCCATAGGTGCAGGTGGGACAGCTCTTCCGGGCCATTGTGCAGCACGAGGTAGGAGTCCCCCGAGAAGAAGATGCCCTGGTTCTCACGTGCTACAGGCACTGGCTTCAGTTTCTCTACCCGCCATACATGCAGGCCAGGATCCTGCACTGAGGCTGGGAACGGAGAGCCGCTGCAGGAGGGAAGCGGGGGGTGGTGGTGGCCAGGCCCCAGGAGGAGTGGGCCCAAGCAGACACTGGGGAGGACCGGGGTGGGCGGGGGACTGTGGTGTGGGCATGAGGGAAGCTGTGAGGAGGGCAGCCCTTGAGGCAGAAGAAGCAGAGAAGGGAAAGGGGATGGGGCATATAGCCTACCTCAGGGGGAGGCGTGTGTACATGCTGTTTCCGATTCTAGAAAGACAGAAGAAGCATTATGATTACAAATGTTATGACAACCACCCTTCACTTTAGTCTGGGGAGGCCTTTCCAGGTGTCAAATGCTATCATATTCATTAACAACTTCATCGCAAGAGCCCAAGAGATTACCCTGGCTCCATTCTGCAGGCAAAGACACTGAGGCTCAGAAAATCAAAGTCCAAAGCCACAAAGCTTGTGAGTGGCTAGTGAAAACTAGGTTTCTGACTCCTGGGCCAATATCTTTCTCTTCCTGTGACCTCTCAGCCATACCTCTCCTCTGCTTCCAGACCCCTAACTCTGGTCCTTACACGAGACTGACTGACATACAGCTCTTTAAGCAATAACTGCTTACATTAGAAAAGTCAGAAATCAATAACTTAAGTTCCCACCATAAAAACGCCAGAGAAGGAAAAGCAAATTAAACCCAAAATAATCAGAAGAAACGAAATAATAAAAATAAGAGCAGAAATCAATAGAAATAAAAATATATATGGAGAGAAAATCAATGAAGCTGGGTTTGTTTTTTTTTAAGATTTTATTTATTTATTTGACAGACAGAGATCACAAGTAGGCAGAGAGGCAGGCAGAGAGAGAGAGGGGAAGCAGGCTCCCTGCTGAACAGAGAGCCCGATGTGGGGCTCGATCCCAGGACCCTGGGATCACAACCCGAGCCGAAGGCAGAGGCTTTAACCCACTGAGCCACCCAGGTGCCCCAAGAAGCTGGTTTTTGAAAAAAAAAAAAAAAAAAAAATCAGTAAAACTGATGAGCCTTTAGACAAACTGATTAAGAAAAAGAAAAGACACAAATTTCCAATTCAGAAATAAGAGAGATGATTCACTACAGATTCTATAAATATTAAAAGGACAAAGAGAATATTACAAAAACTTATGCCAATATATTCAACAACATATATGAAATGGGAAAATTCCTTGAAGGATATAAATTATGAAAGTTCAGTCAAGAAAAAATAGACTACCTGAATAGTTTTCATATCTATTAAAGAAACTGAATTTGTACTTAACCCTCTGCCTCTAATTCCAAGTCATGGTACATTCTTTTTTTTTTTTTTTTTTTTTTTTTTTT